GAATTTTTATTGCCGAAAAACTTAAATAAAATTTAGAAATATAAGCATAATATATTTATTGCGAAAAAAAAAATTTTAAATAAGAAAGTAAATAAAAATAATTTTTTGTTATTAAAGCGAAAATATAAAAATTTAAATAAGTTTTTGTTATAAAAAAATGAAAATAATAATAATTTTTTATTATAAAAATAAAATTATTTATAAATAATAATTAATTAAATATTCACAATGGAAACATAATAATAATAATATTTTTAATTATTAATAATTATTTTTTTAATAAAAATTTAAATTCTTAATTAACGAAAAATTTGAATAGAGTTTAAACTTTATTCATAAATAATAATTAGTTAAATGTTCACAATGGAAATATAATAATAATATTTTTAATTATTAATAATTATTTTTTTTTTAAATAAAAACTTAAATTATTTATTTACGAAATATTTAAATAAAGTTTAGATAAATAAACTAATTTTTTTATTGTGAAAATAATTTATTTAAATAAATAAATAAATAAAAATAAATTTTTTTTATTAAAAACTATAAAAAATTTGTATTTTTTACAAAAAAAAAATGTGTGCTAGTTATTAGTAAAAAAAATTATTTATATTTTTTATTAATAAATTGTTTTCTAATTTGAACAACTTAAATCATGCAATTTTAGTATTAAAAAGAAAGTATAAAAAATTATATACGTTTATGTTATAAAAAAAAATAATCCTTTTTTTATAAATAATAAATAAATAAATATTCACTATAAAAAAAGTAATAACATATTTCATAATTAGTAATTATTATTTTAATAGAATTTAATTTAATATATAATAATTATTAAAAAAACATGAATATTTTTTTTTATATTTTTTAAAAATGTTGTTTTCTGTTATGCAATAAAAAAAAATTATTGTGTGAAAAAAGTATTTAAATAAGAAAAAATTATAATTTTTATTATCAATGTTAATCAATTCTTTTTTCTCATTTATTATTAATTACTATTTTTTGCATGATATATTAATATCTAACAGCTCAAACAAAGAATTCACTGTGTGCTAGTAGCAGTGACTAAGCAATTGAAGAAGAAGAAGCAGAAGAAGGAAACGAAGCAGTAAGCATTCTTTATGCACTCGGGTACAATACGAATTCAGCTATACGAGCACTTAAACAACTGCATAAATCACCTTTTTTGTCGTTATTGCAAAATCTTTATGTGATATACCGTTGTTGTAGCGTATGTAGAATTTAAATTCCATAATATTTGTTTTTGTTTTTTTTTTAAGGCAAATGCTCTATGCATTTGTTCTTCATATGCATATGTATATATTTACAGCATTGGCATATTTTTGTAATGCACAGAATTTTAAACGTATAAACACTTTCCATAGCCCACTCCAGCACTCCGACGTCGCATAAGTTAATTAAGGACTACGATAATTGCTTGAAAATCATCTCATTACTTGAATATTCATATTATTGTAATTGTCTTTAATAAACATTATTTGTTTTTTTTTTTTTATCTCAAATCATATTGCATATAACATATTTATTTGTTATATTTTCACTTTGTTGTTATTTCAAAAAAAAAAAAAAAAAAAGAGAGGAATTGTTTTTTTTTTTCTTATTTGTTTATAACTTTTAACTTACGAATTTATTCATGCCCAAACTACGCGTCCTTATACCGCTCTATTTGGAACTGTTGCATTTCGATTGTTGTTAATTGTTCTATACATACATATGTGTAAGTCACACTTTGACAAATGTTTTTCCCCACACGTTAACTTCACCACTTCACTTTAAACACTGCACGGCTGTTTCTGCAAAAAAAAATATTTTGTGTATTTGAAATTGCTTTTGAAATCAATTTGAAACTCAGTCGTTAATTTACAAACATAAATATTTTCTTCTTTTTTCTTCTTTTTGTTTGGTTTGGTTTAATTATTATTAACTAACTGACCGTGTTAGTTTGACAGCTTTTTTAGTTGTTAAACATTGCTCTGTGTAGTACTTTTATGCTGTAAATTAGTATTTCTTAATTTTTCGTTTATTGATTTTTGATTTTTGATTTTTTTTCTTCTCATGCGCCCCAGCTCCAAGTAATGCAGGTATGTATGTATGTAAGTGAGTATTTGTATGATTGATTGTTTGTATAATTGATTTATGTATGTATGTATGTATTTGGTACACATATTAATTAAATTTAATTTCGATAATAGTAAGTGTAAATATGTATGTACGTATGTCAATATTTTTCCATTTCTTCATTTTTTTTTTTTTTGGAAATTTCGCTTATATTTTATTTGCAAAGATATACACGTACATATGTATGGCAGTAGGCATTTTATTACAATTCACATATGTATGCATGTAATATCAGTTTGTGTATGTCATGTATATAAGTTTTTTAGCTTTCGTTGGCGAATCCATTTAAAACAGAGATTGAAAATTTTTGCTATCAATATTTTTGGCTTTTTAGAGAGTAAAATTCGAAAAGCGAATTTGAAGAAAAAACTAAAATAAAAAAATCTGTGGAATACGAGTATGTAAAAAAAAAGAGAAAATATGGTAACACTCAGTAACAATTTCATAAAATTCTGATGAATTTAAGAACAATTTGATTATAATTAATTTAAACAATTAGTGATCATTAAAGTAGTTTATAGAAAAAAAGATAACTAATTTATGGAAACAATTATAGTTATTGATAATTTTTTTATAAATATAATAATAATTAATTCGTAAAAATAATGATAATTGAATTATAGCATAATAATGATAATTAATTTATAAAAAGAACGATTATTAATCATAATAAAATTAATGAAAAATGGTAAATTACTTCTGGATTATATGGTAATGAATTTATAGATTTATACAGTTAATTTATAGAATTAATTAAAATGTATATGTAGAATTAATTTTAGTTAATTAATTTATAAATTAATAGTAATATAATTAATAGTAATTAATTATATAAATTAATTTTAAATAATTCTATAATTTAATTGCAATTAATTCTATATTTTAATTATAATTATTTATATAAATTAATTGTAATTAATTATGTAAATTAATTTTAATTGATTCTATATTAATTGATTCTATATTAATATTAATTTTCATAATCAATTACAATTAATTTATATAAATAATTATAATTAAAATGTAGAATTAATTGCAATTAAATGATAGAATTAATTAAAATTAATTTATATAATTAATTAAAATTAATTTATATAATTAATTACTATTAATTTATAGAATCAATTAACATTAATTTACATAATTAATTACAATTAATTTATATAAATAATTATAATTAAAATATAGAATTAACTGCAATTAAATGATAAAATTAATTAAAATTAATTTATATAATTAATTACTATTAATTTATAGAATCGATTAAAATTAATTTACATAATCAATTACAATTAATTTATATAAATAATTATAATTAAAATATAGAATTAATTGCAATTAAATGATAGAATTAATTAAAATTAATTTATATTTAATTACTATTTATTTATTGAATTAATTACTATTAATTCATAGAATCAATTAACATTAATTTACATAATTAATTACAATTAATTCATATAATTAATTACTATTAATTTATAGAATTAATTTCTAATAATTTATAGAACCAATTAAAATTAATTTACATAATTAATTAATTTATATAAATAGTTACAGTTAATTTCTAAAAATGATAATTACAAATTTTTAGAAAATAATTTCTTCACTATATATATAACTTTGAAATTTATTCTTTACTTGATGTTTTGAAAAAAAAACCTAGTTATTTTATTAAATTTTTGTTAAATTAAAAAAAAAAATTTGGTCTCATTTTAAATGAAAAAACAATTTTGGTAGAATTCAATGGACATGATTCAGTTAAAAACTAAAAAAGGAAATATTTTAAAAATTTATTTACATTAAAATTAATTCAAATGAGAATTTAATATTTATGTTGAAATTATATATATAAATAAAATACAAAAGGAGAATTTTTTATTGAATATTATATGAAAGCTACTTGCTAAAAGTATCGAAATTAAAAAAATAATAATTATAATTATGTATTTCAAATTTAGAAAATATAAAAAATGAAAAAAAAATAAAAAAAAATAAAAAAAAAATTTACAAAATAAAGAAATATTATTTGCTTTTGTTCTTAATTTTTATCTTTAAGTATTTGTGTTTAAAAAATTATAAGCATATTTTTCAATCTCTGTTCCAAAATTTGTAAAAGCTGTGCCACACTTATTGCCGATCACCAATAAGCATTTTTATAAGTTCAAGAAAGAAAAGAAAAAACAAAATAGCACATAACACATATGTGATAGTGTTTTACAGTGTTTGTATATAAACAAACAAAAAATTAAATTTGTTAATTTTTTTTAGCAAGCGAAGAACTTTATGGAGTGTTAAATAATTTAAATATTGAGAAAATCAATTACAATTCAACCATCTTTTTTTTTTTAAACAAAATTAATATATATATACATAAATACATATACATACATATGTATACATATATATAAATAAATATAAATATGCATAAATATATTTATGTACATATGTATATGTTATTTTGGAATTACATACATATTCATGTATGTATGTATGTATGTATTTATGAAATATTATAAATTTGCTTCACTTGCATTTGTGTTTAAATAAGTTCGCGCCATATTAAGTATTAAAATTACAATTTACAATTTTAGAATTTTCAATTTTTCAAAAAATATTTAATTGCTTTTTTTTTGAATTGTTTTTTTTTTTTTTAAACTCATAGTTAGCTTACATACAAACTGCAGATATTTGTAATGATGCTGGTACTTTGTAGCGTTTATTTCATATTGTTGCTGTTGTTGTTATTGTTGTTTTTCACGTTGCTTGGCTTACTTGTTCTTTGCTTGTTGTTTATGTCGAACGCTGTCGCTTTCGCTGTTGTTGTTGTTGTTGTTGTTGTTGTTATTATTATTGTTTCTGTTTTGTTGTTGTTGTTGTTGTTGTTGTTGTTGTTGTTTATTGAATGTGTCAGAAAATTATGTTTGAAAGATGATTCAATTCAAGTTCGATTAAGGTGCATCCTGGAGGGAGGGGCGAGGCCTGGCTCAGACATCTGCCGAACGCGATGTTATACTCGGCGAACGCGAGTGTATTACAACCTTATGTCCATTCTTTGTTACAAAACCATCACTTTCGACCAGCACAGCTGTTTGGCGTCCATTTGTGCCATTCGAACCGCCGCTACCCGCAGCGCCACTTGGACTAATTTGTTGATTCCCACTAGCGCCACCATCCGGACTATTTACGTTACTTAAATTACCATCACGTTCAACATCACCATCGACATCGCCATCGCCATGACCATGACCATCGCCATCGCCATTGGCATTGCCATCACCATCACCATCGCCTATACCAGCGCCACCACCATTGGCATTCGATCCGTCAGCATTATCATTATTATCATCGGCTGTGGAATTTTTACGTTCAATATCACCATCCACAGTACCACCACCCGTTGTGCGTGCTTTGTATTTACGCCAAGCATTTTGTATTAGTCGCGTACAATATTCTTCACGTTGACGCCATAATGTCGACGAAACGGGTTCGTGACCTTCTGCATCTGCTCTAGGTGCAATTTCGCCAATTTCACCGGTATCCTCAATGGGATTACCTTTACGTGCGAAGAAGTCTTTAGTTAGAGCATCCAATATATCAACACAATACATCATATCGCCACGACATATTGGTATATCCATAGATATGATTTTGTACTTATTCGGTTTGTGTATTTGTAGTGGCGGTTCGAGTACGTCAAGAAATTCGGATAACTGATCGTAACGGATATATTGTGTACCTTCGGGATCGAATTGTTGCCATATCTCATAATACATATCATAATCATCATCGGTGAGACCTTCCTGCACGTCCTCGGTGGCCTGACTATAGTTTTCGAGAATGACAGCAATATACATATTAATAACTATCAAAAAGCTTATAACTAAGTATGAGAGAAGAAACGTTATTCCAACTGTTGCTGAACCACAATTGCCCGGATAGCCCTTGTCGTTGTCGGGTGGATCGCAATTTTCCTCATTGATAATAGCATCTAAAACGCCATCCCAACCGGCTGAGGTAGACATCTGTTTACCGCCATATATATATATATATATGTGTGTGTGTGTACATATATTTTTTAATATATATTTATATATATATATATAGTAGATATACACACGTTATGTATGTAAGAAAGGCGGTTACAGTGTCCATACGAATTTGGGTGGTTTGGGAGATTCAATTAACGTTTTGATTGTTGAAGCGGCAGAGAAAAAGTTTAGAAGTAAGTGTGTTTGATTAGTTAAACAGTTGTTTGAAGCTAACAGTACATTTTATGGCAGCAAAATTCAATCAACACTAATTTAATTTAATTTAATTTAATTTATATTGTTGTTTTTTTTTTTGTTTTACTATTTATGTACTATTTACATATTTTTTTACATCATTACAATGTAAGCTCTATCATTGATTATAATTATGTACATATGTATGTATGTATGTTGATATTTAATTGTTTTTCGATTGAAGCCAACACTATTCATGACATATATATATATATATATATATATATATGTATACTATATTGGAAACGTAATACGTATATATATACATACATAAATATATATCTATATATATATATATATATATATATGTATGGGAAAATTATTTAAAACTACAATACTTCAAATGAATGAAGCACTGGCGGGAAATTGTGCGGGTCTATGTGCAGAAGCAGATTGGCGCAAAACTGTATATTATTTATACTAAAATAATAAATATATATATAATATATTACATATATTGAAACAAAGGATGTTGGCGGGAAAAATATGTATTTATATTTCAATTAAAAATTCTCAATGTCTAATCAATTAATGAATTAATTAATTAGCTTGGTTAATGCTCAAGTTGTCCAAGTCCAACTTTATGAGGGATTTCTCTGTGGAAAGGCATTCAACGGCAGCTTGCACTAGGAAGTGCTTACATATGTACATATGCATGTAATGTATAGGCTTAAATATTTTTTCTTTTTTTTTTTTGTTTTTATTTCATATACCTAAAATTTATTAGTATTGAAGCAACAGAAGCAAAATATTGCTGAAAAGCGAGAGTTTTCAAAAAGAAATTCTTATCGAAGCAATTTTAATAATTTAATTTTTTTTATTTTTTTATTTTATCTTTTTAAATTTTTTTTCGTGTCAATAAAGAAAGGTTGACGTTTTCAGTTTGTAAATATATGTATGTATATCTTTTTAGGAGCATATTGACACTTCAGAAGCTTTGTAATCATAATTTACGCGAATTAATGAGGATTTTTTATAAAATGTTATAATTGGCGATTGTTGAAAGAGCTTAATTAGATAAAAGCGAGAGAGTACATGAAGCTAGGATATCAATGATATAAACAAGGGATATGTATATGCACGTATATACAAAACATAAAATCATAAATAGCAGTAAAGTTAGGCAAAACAAAAAGCAAAGTAAGGCAATATAAACAAAAAATTTTCTAAAAAAAATTAAAAAATTTAAATGAAAACAAAATAAAAACTATAAACAATAAATATGCATTAAAACATTAATCAAAATTAAAATAAAAAGCAGAAATTAAAAAAAAAGTGAAAAAAAATTTTAAAACTAAAATTAAGATAAAAATAAAAATTTAAATTAAATTAAAGTGATGAAACATGAAATAAAAATAAAATTAAAAGTAAAAATAAAAATTAATTTTAAATTTTAATTAAAATAAAAAGCTAAATATAAAATTACTGAAATAAAAAAAAAATAAAGTTTAAATATAATTTTAAATAGCTAAAAATCAAATTTAATTAAAAATGAAATTAAATAAAACTTGAAACTAAAATTAAGATTGAGATAAAAAACAAATTAAAAATATAAAATTTAAATAAAAATGAAAATTTAAATAAAATAGGAATATATAAAATTAAAACAGTAAACTAAATAATAATTAAGTATAAAACTAAAAACTATAAATTGAAGTAAAATTAAAAATAAAATTAATAATAAATTTTAAATGAAAATGAAAATTAAAATTGAAATAAAAATAAAAATTAAAAAAAAATTAATAATAAATTTACTTTAATTTATTTTATTTCATTTATCAAAATTCAAGCTCAAATTTAAAATCATAATTAAATAAGAAACGGTTATAAAAAAATAGAGTTTAATTTAAATTAAAACAAAAGTTAAAAGTAGAAATTAAAATGAGCGGTAAAAATATAAATTAAAAAAAAAAAATCATTAAAAATAATCAAATTAAAAATCAAAATTAAAAATACAAATATATTTAATTTAAAAATCTTAAATCAATTTTATATTAGAAAAAAATTAAAATGTAAGTAAACAATGGAATTTAAAAAAATTAACATTAACACTAAAATTAAAGTTGAAATGTAATATAAAATAAAGAATTAAAAAATTAAAAAGAAAACAACTACTTAGAAATGAGTATTTATAAAAATTAAAAATAAAAAATTATTATAAATTTAAGTAAAATGTGAAACAAAAAATGAAAAAAAAGTTAAAATTAACAATACTTAAAGTAAAAAATCAACAAAAATTAAATTAAAAAAAATTAAAATTATAAATATAAATTTAAGTAAAATGTGAAACAAAAAATGCAAAAAAAATTAAAATTAACAAAACTTAAAATTAAAAAATTAACAAAAATTAAATTAAATAGAAATAAAATTAACAAAACTTTAAATTAAAAAATCAACAAAAATTAAATTAAAAAAAAATTAAAATTATAAATATAAATTTAGGTAAAATGCGAAACAAAAAATGCAAAAAAAAAATTAAAAATAATAATACTTAAAACTAAAAAATCAACAAAAATTAAATTAAAAAAATGAAAATTATAATTATAAATTGAAATAAAATGTGAAACAAAAAATAAATATAAATCAAAATTAACTAAACATAAAATTAAAAAATTAACAAAAATAAAATTATAATTATTGATCGATATAAAATGTGAAACCAAAAATGAAATAAAAGTTAAAATTAACAATACTTAAAATTAAAATATCAACAAAAATTAAATTAAAAAAATTAAACTTATAAATATAAAATTAAGTAAAATGTGAAATAAAAAATGCAAAAAAAATTAAAATTAACAATACTTAAAGTAAAAAATCAACAAAAATTAAATTAAAAAAATGAAAATTATAATTATAAATTGAAATAAAATGTGAAACAAAAAATAAATAAAAGTTAAAATGAAAATATTAAAATAAAATGTGAAACTAAAGAAAACATGAAACGAAAATAAATAAGAAACAAAAATAGAAATAATATTGAAACTAATAAGAAAAAAAATTAAAAATAAAATAATTAATTTAATTAGATTTTACATTAAATTAAAAATTATATACACGCCATTGTAAAAATTAGTTTTTTTTTAAATAATTAATAAAAAATTATGGAAAATAATTAATTAAATTTATATATTAATAAATAAAAACAATAGTTGTATGTACAAAAAAAAACACAAATTCTGCAAAAATTCACAAAAATATCAAAATTAAATGATTATTTAATGCAATTTAAACCATTATGTTTTCAAAACTCAATAAAAGCATTAAAAAAAATTTAAAACTTTTAGCTAAATTATCATACTGCGATCAATTAATAGTAGCAAAATAGAAAATAAATGTTGAAAGCTTTCAGCTAAACTAAATTGATTGCTAATAAATGTGAAAAAGAAAATTTCGTTTAATGTCACTAATTTAGCTTTTACCAACAACTACCATAGCTTAATCAACAATGTAATATTCCCACTTTAGGAGATTACGAGCGGATTAGCAAGGCAATGAATGCACCAAATATTATATAATTCTAGGCGTAATTGTCATACATACACATACATATATAATATATATATACAAACTTTTGTATATACAATACATACATACATATATCGAAATTTGGTGCATCCAACATCTCAACCAATCACACTCAATACATACATACACACATACTAAAACTGCATGCATGTATATATAACCGTCAGCGGGAATATTACCCAACGACAACAACAATAGACAACATGAACGGAACATGAATTGTGGCGTCTTACCTGGAACAGCAATATCATACTTTGGCCAAATGTTTTAAAATTATAAACGTCATTGATGCCACTTTTTTCCTGTACATGCATAAAAAATGACATCCCAAATATGGCAAAGATGAACATGACGAGAAAGAGTAGCAGGCAAATGTTGAATAGAGCTGGCAGCGACATAGCTAACGCGAACAATAGCGTCCGTATACCTTTAGCACCTTTGACCAGACGCAATACACGACCGACCTTGGCGACGCGCACGACACGCAGTAGCGTCGGTGAGACGAAGTACTTTTCAATAATATCGCTAAGTACAAGACCTGTGTGGGTGGAAGTAGATTTTTTTTTGGACCGAAATAAATAATAAATATGTATGTATTGATTTGTTGTTTTCTTTTTTTTATAGATATGCTAGATATATATGGCCGAGTCCAGTTTTTTTTTTTTTACAATAAATAATATACTAAGACACAAATTCTATATATATGTAAGTGAGTATAAATAGATCACAAATTATACAATATTTACAATACATATAATAAAGCACACCTACTTGCGTACAATATTTACTATATACATATACATTATATTACAATATATATGTAAATATTTATATAACAAGTAAATACTACAATAGAGACATATTTAACGGAACGAGTTAATTTTTCTCAACGAAAATATATAAGTTAAACACAAATTTGCTTAATATACATACATACGAGTACTATACTAAAATATACATATTGTATATATGTTTGTATGTATTGTGTATTGACTTACACTTACAGCGTGTACACAATATAAATGTTACAAAATGTTTGAGCATAAAAATTATGTTTTCATATGACTATGTACATTTGTACATATACATATGTAATTATGTTAGCTGGTATGCGTGACTGTATATATGCGGGCATGTAAAATGACCTATAAAAAGTTAGTATATATGGCAAGCGTATGATATAATTAAATATTAATAATAAAAATTAGTTTAATAAATACATTTGTACGTATTTATATATATGTATATATACATACATAGGCTTAATATAAAAAATCAAGCTTAGCGCGTAAGCATAAGAATCGCAGTTAATCTGGCATACATACATAAGTTATGTATGTATGCATGTATATATACGAGTACATATGCAAATGTATGCTCATTTTAATAAGATTGATTTGTTAAATAAAAATATGTAGCGGCCCACTGTAGAAAGCAATTGGGTGAAAAATGCGCCACTTCAATATTAATGCTAAGCCATGATACAAGAAGGCGGGTAGGCAGCTTCCTCCAACAGTGTTCGAGTTAGTCACACGCAATTTTACAGTGAATTTTACTCAAAACAGTTAAGCAGTCACTCATGAACAGAAATCTATCGGCAGATTTATTAAAAATTCGAAATTTTTAATTTTAAAATTAAGTTAAATTATATTAAATTAAGTTGAGTTCCACTCAGTTGTTTTGAATTTTTTAGTTATGAATTTCTTCAAAAAAAAAAAAAAAAAATCGTTTAAAATTATAATATAAATTTAAGAAAAATAATTCAAATAAATAAAACTTAAAAGAAATTTAATATGTTAAAATTATTTTTCTGAACTTTTTTAAAGTCAAATACAATATATATTAAAGCAAAAAAATAAAAATAAAAAGTAAATATAATAAAAAAAATTATGGATTTTTATTTTTCGAAATCTGTTGAGCGTAAAATTATTTACAAGCACCATAAAAAATGCAAATTAATATAAATGAAAAAATATATTAATATTTTTTTTCGCAATCTAATGGATTTTTCGCCGGCATTTTATATTTATGAAAGCAATTTAAAACATTTTTTAAATCCAAAATGAAAAAAGTGTAAGAAATTTAAAATTACTTAATGTATTGTATTATACAACTGAAATAAATTTCAAATTTAGAAAACTTACAATAATATTATGAAACAAATAAAAGAAGGAAAAGACTAAAACAAAATGTCAAAAAAAAAAATAAATAAATATTTCAATAAATAATAGTTAATAAAGTATGAAAAAAATTATAATAATTCAAATTTGGAAAAAATTGCCACAAAAATATTAAATATTTTAATATTTATTTCTTTGAATTTTTTATCATTATTATTTTCTTCTTAAATTTCCAAAAATATTATTTCAAATAACTTAAAAATTTTACAAATTTTAGAAAAAATTAAATACAAGAAACGAAATAATTAAAAAAAAATAAATATACTAAATAAATTTATGTGCAAGTGAAAATAAATATAATACTCGTTAAATGAAATTTAAATTTAAAATATAATAAACAATAACAGGAAAAAATATTAATAATATAGATGTTCTTACGATACAAATTAAAAAACAATACTAATTTAAATAATATAAAATAATAATAATAATATAATAATAGAAAAAAAAAACTTAACATTACTTAAATAATTAATATTTAAATCAAATCCAAGTAATAAGAAAAATTAGGATTATAATAAATTAAATTAAAAAAAAAGAAATATTTAAATAAAATATAAATTAAAAAATTAAGTCAAATCAAGTCTAAGTAATAAGAAAAATTAGGATTAAAATAAATTAAATTAAAAAAAAGAAATATTTAAATAAAATATAAATTAAAAAAATTAAATTAACTTAAACTACAAATATCAAGTAAGGCAGAAATTGCAAGACAAATATTAAAAAAATTTAAATAATTAATGAAAAAGTAATAATAATAATAATAATAATAATAATTAAAAGTTAAACAATTTAGCAGAAAAAATAAAACTCATATATAAAAAAATAGTAATGGAAAAAAGTTAAACAAAATATTTTTAAAAGTGAGGAGAAAGCGCCCACATAAAATTAAAATTGAAATAAAACAAAATTAAAAAAAAAAAAATTAAATTAAAATAAAATAAAAATAAAAAAAATTAAAGAATTCATATGTAGAAATAATTAGCATGTAATTATGAAAAAATACGATAGTATAAGTAAATATGAAAATAAGTGAGTAAGCATAAAAATAAAATCGAGTATTGCTAAAATAATTATAATATAAATAAGCAAAAAAATACACAAAATTATTTAAAAAAGTGCTATTTAAATAAATATGAGATAATTAAAAAATAATTGAAGAAATAAAAAAATGAACAAAAATAAAAAAGAGAAAATTAAATATAAAAATATTTTGCCGATATATGTATAATGGTTTCAATCACTAAGTTTTATCCATTTTTTTTGGTTTTTGCCTTAGTTGTATTTTTTTTGTTACAAAATTTTATATATGACAAGTTTAAGGAATAATAACAATATAATTTTATAGAAAAAAAACATATAAAATAATAGCATAAAAATTAAGTTAAAATTAAAGTAAAATCATTCATATGCGCTTCATATTTGTTTTCTATATTACATTAAGATAAAGAAAAAAAAAATTATTTAATATAATTTTTATATGAGTAAAAGTACCTTCCCTTTTTTGTATCATGGCATAAAAAACAATATTGTTTCCAAGCTCAATTGAAATATTTGTAAGGAACAAAATTTAAAAGAAAAATTTTAATCTGCCGTTATATTAAGCCTGTAATACTATACTAAAGTTTTCGCTTCACAAGCTGTTATATCATATAAATATATTTAATATATTATACCCAAAACTGACAAATTTCTACAACTACGCTTCCTAGGTAAATATTTCCATTCTAGGAATTATTCACATAGAAATTTGTTTGTCTCTTCGTTGGGTGTGGGGAGAGGAGAAAAAATGTACATTTCAACTTTAGCGATAATCCGCAGCATATATTGAGTGCCAAATATCAATCATTTACGCATATACAGTTGTATAAATTTCTTAACGTAGTAGGTATGGAACAAAAATGTGTCTCTGGAGCAGGGAGTTGGAATTTTCTTAAATTTTTTGCTTTCATTTTTTATTTATTTATTTTTTGCTTCTATTAAAAATGAGCGAAAGATGACGGTAATTCGCTAACATTATAATTGGACCGTTTTTTTTTTTAAATCTAACTATAATTAAATTTTTTTTTTTCAATATTATAAATTCTTGGAATAATTAGATTGTATGGGAAATTCCAGTTTTTGTGCCCTGCTTTGCATAACCTTAATTTATTTTTCACTTTGTTCATTGGTTTTTACTCAAGTTTAATGGACTAAATGGTCTTTGCAATGGGAAATGTGTATATATATATATATATGTATTGTTGTCATAAAAGGAAATGGGGAAATGGCGAGAAAATAGTAAATAGTTATATAAGTACATAGGTTTTTTTTTGGTTTTGGGGAATTGGATATTATGTTAGAGTTATTTATGTTATAAAAACTTAATATCATTAAAAGTTTATAAAAACTATTCTTATTGACTTTATGATCAACAAAGGAAGTAGTTTTTGAGTTATTTTAATTGTACATGTAGGGGGGAGGGGGGGGAAAGATGTTTTCATATACAATAGTATACATAAATGAATACTAAGTGTCAAATATTTGTATGTATGCATATGGAAGTTTATAATTATTATTTATTATTTATTATTTTCTTTATTTTTATTCTTTTATTTATTTACATATTTTTGTAAATAATTTTCATATTGTTCAGGTTTAATTTTTTGTTCAGTAAATATTTCCTTTACTTCGATTGTTATTTGCAAAATTATCTTTTATTTAGCATAAAATTCTATTGAATTAATTTTTAATCACTTTTTTAATTTTTAGATATTCATTTACTACTTCGTTTATATTTATTTATTACGTTTTTTAATTTCGTTTTTGAGCTTCTTTTAAATTTTACTTTCTATTTCATTTAATTTCAAGTCAGGAACTTTTATGCTCTTTTACTTCTGATTAATTTTTTTCTAATATTTATTTATTTATTTACATATTTTCCATTTTATAAATTAATTTAATCATTTATAATTTTTATTTTATTTTGTATAACTTTTTTTTTATTTTATATTAATTTTTTTAGCTTCTACTTATTTTATTTATTTTTATTAACTTCATGCCTTTAAATTTTTTACTTTTTTAAATATTTATTTTACACTTTATTTAGTTTTATATATTAGGTTTTTTAATATTTTTATTATTATTATTATTATTTTATTATTATATAAATTCTATTTTAATTTTAATTCAATTTTAGTTTTTATTTCATTTTAATCGATTATTTTTATTAAATTCTTTTTGTTTTAATAGTAATTTGAATTTAAAAGTAATTTGTATTTTTTTTTTAATTTAATATATAATTGCTTTTTAAATTTAAAATTTTTATTTTATTTTACTACTTTTATTTATTTTTTATTTTTTAATATTTTTTTTAGCT